ATATAGAAATGACTGCCCAGGGAGAATATGTAGAGTCAGAAGAAGAAAGGTTTAACATGGAACAGAATGGCCAGGAACATCTAAGAGACAGCAGGTGGGGAATTTGTGCCTGGCCCCAAAGAAGCTAATGCAGGGTAGTGTGGGTGAAAGAACTAAGATTTAGTAGAGGAGGCATGAGGGAAAATGAGATGTGAAGATGACTTTTTCAAGAAATAACTGAGCAGGAGGCAGGATGGCAAAAGCAGTATCTGGAGGGGAAGGTATAGTTGAGGGATTTTTTTTTTTTTAAGATTTTATTTATTTATGAGAGACGGAGAGAGAGGCAGAGACAAAGACAGAGGGAGAAGCGGGCACAGGCAGGGAGCCAGATGCAGGACTCGATCCTGGAACCCCAGGATCACACCATGAGCCAAAGACACACTGAACTACTGAGCCACCCAAGCATCCCAGTTGAGAGAATTTTTAATTTACATTTTGACCTTTTTAAAACTTTTTATTTGAAAATCATTTTAAATATATAGGAAAATGTCAAGAATAAGAATGGTAAAAGGATAGCCTTTAGCCATATTTACCTATAGTTAACATTTTACTTCATTTTGTCTTCTCTTTTGCTCTTTCATAATACATACTTTTTTTTTTTTTTCTGAACCATTTGAAAATAATGCATGCATCATGGCCTCCTACCCCTAAATACTGTAGTATGTATTTACTAAGGATAGGGATGTTCTCTTGCATGAGTAGAGTACAACTGTCAACTTCAGTACATTTAAAGTTGATACTATGTGATCTATATTCCAGTTTTGTCAGTTGACACAATTATTTTTTTTATAATTTTCCTTCCAGTACAGACCCCCTACAGGTCAGGTATTCAGTATAGTGTTCAAGTCTCTTTAGCCCTTTTTAATCTGGAACATTTCTATATCCTCTCTTGTTTTTCATGAAAATGCTATTTTTGAAGAATACAAATAGTACTTGGAGTAGAACAGTCTTCATTTTGGATTTACCTGATGTTTGCTTGTGATTCTGAAGCTCAGGTGATGAATTTTCACAGGATGTCACTTCTGGAAGCATATGATGTCCCACTGCCACCATTGATGATATTAATTTAGAACACTAAAATGAGGCACTAATTTCTCCACTGTGTAGTTATTGTTTTTTCCCTTTCATTCTGGGGGGAATATTTTAAGATCATGCATATATACTGCCCCTTCTCAAAATTTTCCCCACATTTAGAATTCAGTGATAATTCTCCCCTAATCCAGTCTGCTCAGATAGTAACAAAATGCTGATTTTTTTTTTTTCAACTCTACTACTTTCCCCACATTTACCAACTGGCCCTGGCATTCTGCTGTAAGTAAGCAGCCTCTCTTTCTCCCATTTATATATGTATGGACTCGCGAAATCCTATTTGCAATGCTTTATAATTCATATTATAAATAATTATTATGGAACCTAAATTGAGTGGTCAAGCTGGCTCATGATGTTGTGGTCTTGTGACATGCCCCTGTTGTTTTTACTTGTTGGTGTAACAAGATGCCCCAGCTCATCTTGTGTGTATTCTGCCCCTGCCTAGAGTCTGCCATTTCTCTGAGGAGCTCTGGTTCCTTTTAGTAGGCGTGGGGGTAGAGACCAAGACCAGGGTGCTGGATGTGCTTATTACCACTAAGTTTTTTTTCCTTCTTAGCTTTTCAGGAAAGAGGTTGGAAATATTTATACATACACAAACACAAATATGTGCACACACACAATTTAGAAATCATGAATTCACACCAATGCTTCTGATTCCTCACAGGGTTTTTCTTGCCTTCCTCACAGGGTTTTTTTTGCCTTCCCCTTATTCCATATTTTTGTTTCTTCCTTCAGGAGAGCCCTGGCTTGCAACTAAATGAACACATTTACATATAAAATTGTTTCAAAATCACCTTGCCCATACCTCTGCAAAAAACAAACCTGCTTAAAAAGAGTACAGTTGTTTTTAGGACTTCACCATCCTCTTCCAGCCTCCCCAAGACTGAGAGTATATAGTATATGATTCTGTGATACATGCCTAAATTATGGGTTGTACTTTTTTAATTTTTGTTTATAGAATTATAAAATAGAATACATGTGAAACACAAATGAACTCTTTTTTGCCATTTTTTTTCTGGCTTAGCTCCTTTTCCTTTTTCCAATTCCCATTTATCTTTGAATATGTAGAAAATTAGCATGCTTGCATAAGTAAAAAACTGTGCAAAAAGCTGTACTTAGAGTGTCTCTCTTCCCTATCCCTTTGCTCTGTTCTCCCCACTTCACCACTTAGAGATAATGGGACTTTACTGATTTCTGATTTCTCTCATTACTGTAAAGATAAGCAGTTACATGCTTGTTTTCTTATATGTGCCTTTTTTATATAAAGATATATATATGTATATTTACCTATATCTATATATACTCTATATAGAGTATATACATATTTTTTAAGATATATCTTACATATATGTACTCTATATAAGGCATATCATGTATCTTATGATATGTGTGTATGTATAGTGTGTGTATATATATACATACATATATACACACATATATACATATATACACACACACATACATACACACACACACACACACAATTTTTTCATGTATCCTGGAAATTGTTTCTTCTCAATCAATAGAGTTGTTCCTCATTCTTGCTTAGTACTCCATTGTATATATGTGTCATAGTTTATTTAACCAGTCTTCTATGCTTAGACACTCAGTTTTCCAGATTCTCTACTTACAAATAATGCCCCTGTGAATAGCTTTGTGTACATAACTTTTTTGTATCTTTGGAATTTCTATAGGAATTTTAGTCTTTTTATTCTCAACTCCTGAAAAATTTTTATATGAGGGATTATTAGCCCTTATACATTATGCATGTTGCAAATATTTTCTTTCATTGTCATTTCTCAATTTTGCTTATAGCATTTTTGCCATGTAATTTATACAGTCAAATTTATCCATCTGCTCTTATTGCCTGTGAATCATAGTTTGAAAACTTTTTCTTTTCTTTTTTTTTAAAAGAATTTATTTATTCATGAGAGAGGCAGACAGAGGGAAAAGCAGGCTTCCTGCAAGGAGCCTGCTCTGGGACTCAATCTCAGACCCCAGTGTCATGTGCTGAGCCAAAGGCAGACGCTAAACTGCTGAGCCATCCAAGCATCCCTGAAAACTTTTTCTATACTTAGGTTATGGAAGTATTCACTTGTATTTTCTTCTAATATTTGTATAGTGTCACATTTTTTATATTTAAAACTCTGCACCATTTGGAGTTTATTCTTGAATATGGTATAAAGACTGATCTATTTTTATATTTTTCCAAATGGCTTTATAGTTGTTCCAACACTATTCTCAAGACCATCTTTGCACCAATAATTTGATATGTCATCTTTATCATATGCTTGATTTCTGTGTGTAATCAGGACTATTTCTGGGCTTCCTATTCTATTCCATTTGTCTGTCTATACATTGGTGCCATCCTGCTTTAGTTATCAGAGGCTTTGTGGTATATTTTAATACCTAATGTGACTAGTCTCCGCATTCCTTTTCTGTTTCTCTCTAGCAATTTTTGTGTGTTTATTTTTTAAATTTTAATTAGGCTCCATGCCCAGCATGGGGCTTGAACTCATGACCCCAAGACCGAGAGTTGCATGCTGTACTGGCTAAACCAGCCAGGTCGTATGTTTACTTTAGAAGATTTGCTGTTATGTCTGTAGGAATATGAACATCTTTCTCTCCTGAGGGCTGAGGATGAATAGATGTGGAGGGATCGAGGTGAAAGAGAATGAATAGAGCATGGTCCCTGATGTGTATGGGAGCAGGATTCAGAGCACAGATAAAAGCCATGTTACTCTTGATGGTTATGGAATTCCACTGCCTGTCCAGTAGCCCTCACATTTAAGCAACATGGACTGCTCTGCCTAAAGTAGTAGAGACCAGAGGAGTGCTTTCAGAGGAAACAAAGAATCCCTGCCTGAGCCCTAAAATCTGTTTTAGGAAGAAGGTTACCTTTCCTGAGTCCTGTGCTTTATACCCAGGTTCCAACTTTGATCAAATAACCAGACCTCAAATAATAAATAGTAATAATTATGCATATAGCACTCACCAAGTAGTAGGCAACCCTTATATTATCTCATTTTATATTCATGTCAACCCTATTGACCTCATTTCAGATGAGAAAACTGGCACAAAGAAGTTGAATAATTTTCTCAAGGTCATGCAGCTAGGTATTTGAACCCAAGTAGTATTTCCTTTGCTTGTGGTTTCTAATCTTTGATATGCTCTGATTGCAGTTAGCCTATTTATAAAGTGGGAATAGAAAGTCTTTTTGCCTGGCATGCTGGAGCATGCTCTTCCATATAGAATTCCTCCCTCACTACTCACTTTCCAGGATCTGGTTTTCTTTGGAGGGGAGGTCCAGGAAGCCAAACCAACTCCAGGAAGCAGCAGTTTGCTTTATTGCTCATGTCTGTCGTGACTGTCTTTATGCTTTCATTACCATCACCCCAATAGTACAACTTGGGTATTGACTTCTTCCCTTTTTTAGTTTTGCCTATTTAGTTCTGCTGACTCTCTCTTAATTTTTGCCTTACTTATTAATTTTTCTGTTTCTTTTATTCAGAGATTTCTTCTACTCTTTTTTCATGACTAAATGATTGTTTCCAAAAACTGATCAGTGTTGTCCTTGATTCTGTGCATCTTTTCAACCCATTTCAACTTGCCCTCATGCTAAATTGTTATGTAAGAATAGAAAAACTCTTTGTTCTATTGGAAATCCAGGGCTCTAACATTTTAACTTTAGCTCCACAGGGGCAGAAATTTTGGCATGCCCCCTGTTGTGTCCCCTGCAGTTAAAAATGGTACTTAACCACACACCATGCAGTCAATAAACACTTGTCAAGTGTATGAGTAAATTTGGATGTAATTCTTCCAGTTTCCTCTAAATAAAGTGAACAGGTATCATTTTCATTTTCTTGGTTTAGTGTCACATTTGAAGACGAGGGGCACTGAGGATGAGAAATCAACTGAAAAGTATGAAAATGTTGGAAATGCAGAATCTATGTGGCCAAAAGTGGAAGGTCTTCACAAGGACAATATATTGGAATCTAAGGTTGGTGAAACTTGTGATTGGAATAGCAAGGCAGAGAATCAACTGGAAAATCCTGAGGGAAAAAGAATGAAGGAAGACCAAAGTGGCATGAGGGAAAAGATTGGCAAAGCCAAGAACACAGCAAATATAAAGACAGAACAGGAAGACGAGGCATCTGAGGAAAGCCTACATCCAAGCTCAAAACATGTTATACACCAAACTGTCTCTATAGAACAGATAAGTAGTGAACAAGACAAATGTATGGAGAACATTAATGGAACCTCTCACCCTGGTCTACAGCAGAAAACCAGTATTGTTAAGAAGTCACACAAATGTGATGAGTGTGGGAAATCATTTAAATATAATTCCCGGCTTGTTCAACATAAAATTATGCACACTGGGGAAAAACGCTACGAGTGTGAGGACTGTGGAGGGACTTTCCGGAGCAGCTCGAGCCTTCGAGTCCACAAACGGATCCATACTGGGGAGAAGCCGTATAAGTGTGAAGAATGTGGGAAAGCCTACATGTCCTACTCCAGCCTTATAAACCACAAAAGCACCCATTCTGGGGAGAAGAACTGTAAATGTGATGAGTGTGGGAAATCCTTCAATTATAGCTCTGTTTTGGACCAGCATAAGAGGATCCACACAGGAGAGAAGCCCTATGAATGTGGTGAGTGTGGGAAGGCCTTCAGGAACAGCTCTGGTCTCAGAGTCCACAAAAGGATTCACACAGGGGAGAAGCCCTACGAATGTGACATCTGTGGGAAAACTTTCAGTAATAGCTCTGGCCTTAGGGTGCACAAGAGGATCCATACAGGCGAGAAACCTTATGAATGCGATGAATGTGGGAAGGCCTTCATTACTTGCAGAACACTTCTAAACCATAAAAGCATCCACTTTGGAGATAAACCTTATAAGTGTGATGAGTGTGAGAAATCGTTTAATTATAGCTCTCTCCTCACTCAGCATAAAGTGATCCACACTGGAGAGAAACCTTATGAATGTGATGAATGTGGGAAGGCCTTCAGGAACAGCTCAGGCCTTATAGTACACAAAAGGATCCACACAGGAGAGAAGCCTTACAAGTGTGATGTATGTGGCAAAGCATTCAGCTATAGCTCAGGCCTCGCAGTTCATAAAAGCATTCACCCTGGGAAGAAAGCTCATGAATGTAAGGAGTGTGGAAAATCCTTCAGCTATAACTCCCTTCTTCTTCAACATAAAACCATTCATACTGGAGAGAGACCTTATGTATGTGATTTGTGTGGGAAAACTTTCAGGAACAATTCAGGCCTCAAAGTCCACAGGAGGCTCCATACTGGGGAAAAACCATATAAGTGTGATGTGTGTGGGAAAGCCTATATCTCACGCTCTAGCCTTAAAAACCACAAAGGGATCCATCTTGGGGAGAAGCCCTATAAATGTACCTATTGTGAGAAATCTTTCAATTACAGCTCTGCCCTTGAACAACATAAAAGGATTCATACAAGGGAGAAACCTTTTGGGTGTGATGAGTGTGGAAAAGCCTTCAGAAATAATTCAGGCCTTAAAGTACATAAACGGATCCACACTGGGGAGAGACCTTACAAATGTGAAGAATGTGGGAAAGCCTACATCTCACTCTCAAGCCTTATAAATCATAAAAGTGTACACCCTGGGGAAAAGCCCTATAAGTGTGATGAGTGTGAAAAAGCCTTCATCACTTATCGAACCCTTATAAACCACAAAAAAATTCATCTTGGGGAGAAGCCCTATAAATGTGATGTATGTGAGAAATCTTTTAATTACACCTCACTCCTTTCTCAACACAAAAGGGTCCACACTAGAGAGAAACCTTATGAATGCGACAGGTGTGAGAAGGTCTTCAGAAACAACTCAAGCCTTAAAGTGCATAAAAGAATCCATACTGGGGAGAAGCCCTATGAATGTGATGTGTGTGGAAAAGCCTACATCTCACACTCAAGCCTTATTAACCATAAAAGTACCCATCCTGGCAAGACACCCTACACCTGTGATGAATGTGGAAAAGCTTTTTTCTCAAGCAGAACTCTTATAAGCCACAAAAGAGTCCATCTTGGGGAGAAACCCTTCAAATGTGTTGAGTGTGGGAAATCTTTCAATTACAGTTCACTTCTTTCTCAACACAAGAGGATCCACACAGGGGAAAAACCTTACATATGTGATAGATGTGGAAAGGCATTCAGGAACAGTTCAGGTCTCACAGTACATAAAAGGATTCACACAGGCGAGAAACCCTATGAATGTGATGAGTGTGGGAAGGCCTACATCTCACACTCAAGTCTTATTAACCATAAAAGCATCCACCGTGGACAGCAGCCCTATAATTGTGAGTGTGGGAAATCCTTCAATTATAGATCAGTTCTTGACCAACACAAAAGGATCCACACTGGAAAGAAGCCATACCGGTGTAATGAGTGTGGGAAGGCTTTTAATATCAGATCAAATCTCACCAAGCATAAAAGAACCCATACTGGAGAGGAATCTTTAAATGTGGGAAGTCACAGTGACACATCACAGAACAGAACTCATGAGGGAGGCAATGCTCTGGTTGGGACCAAGATGAGCATATCTGTACAAGGCAGAGCTTATGAAGTCTCGACTCAAATGGAAGAAAAACCTTATGAGTGTATGAATATCTGAGCTCTTTGTTCATGGCTTGTAATTTACATATGTAACTATGAGTACTCTTTGGTGTGAACTTCATCATAGCCAGCAAGGAAGCCTCCAGTGTCAAGGTAGTTGAATCTTTATGAAACACAAAATAGTTTATACTGGGGTTAAAACCTATGAAAGTGACAGAGTGATTTAAAAACCTTCAAAATAAGCAGACATTTCTGGACGTAAAACACATGGATGAGGAAAGGACTTAGAAGTCATATAGTTACCATCAGAAAATTCATATTTGAGTAAATTCTGTGAATAGAAATGGGGGAAATTCAGGCATAGCTTTGAATCCTAATTGTACATTGGTTAGTGGAGAAAATACAAGAAGGGCTTCCCAACAGGCAAATTCAGGGAGAGATAGGCTTCAGGGAATATAAATTTAATAGTAGTGATCATGGAGTATAAATTTGATATAATTGAATTATTTGTGAGGGGTGATGATAAAATTTGAAACAATTGGATTTTGTTGTAGGAAGAGTAAAAAGTATAGACATGAATCTAGCAGGAAATAGTCATTTAAAAAACATAAGTTGATTGGACTATGGTTGTAATGTGATACACTGGTTGAATGGGCAAAACTTTTAAAAAATTTCAAGTGAACCCCTTCAGTGAATGATGAAGTGTGATGAGTGAAAACCCTACCTATGCTACAATTATGAGGTTCTACAGAAATTCAGCACATTAAATAACTAATGGAACATGTCTTCAATGTGAATTTGCACTTATACAAAAATAATTGATTCAGGGATTCCTATGAATAGGAATGCTGAGAAGGTCATTTTACTAGAAGAGCTAGAAAGCTAAGTAGCTATTGACAATTGAGGGATTGGAAGAAATTCATGCTCCTTAATAATCCTGTTAAATGTTTGATTGTTTTGGAATGTGTTATTGTAAAGATTCCATGTACTACATGTGTGTATTGTCTGTTATAAAATGTTATGAATACTTTGTTCAGGGCTCACTCTGTCTTGGCCATGAAAAGGAAGATAGTTGTGGTGAGGTAAGGTGCAACTCCAATAAAAAAAATTACTTAAAAGTAAACAGGCTCTGACTGACTTTAGATGGAGCAGTATGCATAGAAAACAGTTTGTGTGTCCCATCTTTTGTAGAGTAAGTGAGACCAGATGCAAAACAGGAAGGGGGCTTATCCCACAGGGCTAGTAGCTCAGGTTTCACAAGAAATTAGGTGGTGTCTACACCAGAAGAAGTGAAGAATGGATTGATGCTCATACTGGACCTAGATCATAGTTCCTGGGAGTGGGCATGCTCTGGGACTGATCTGTCACCTCACAGAAATAGTTCTCTTGGGAACAGAATTTAACAAATGTTTATGTGTAAAGCTGTTAACTAGGTGGCTCAAAGGGTAAAAGGAGAGTCTTCTGAGAGTTAAGTAAGCTGTCCAAGAATACTCCGGATGAGCTTGTCTTTAGAGGCTGAATTCTAGTCCCGTCTTTTGGCTCCAAAATCCACTCTCTTTACCAGAGAGAGCTAGATAGCTTCCTGGCCTTCTAGGGTTTGTCTCTTGCCTTGCTATGGCCCTACATAGTTTCCATGACTCCTCTTTAGGGGTATAATTCTTTTTTTAAAAAAAATAAGTTTATTTTTTATTGGTGTTCAATTTTCCAACATATAGAATAACACCCAGTGCTCATCCTATCAAGTGCCCCCCTCAGTGCCCATCACCCAGTCACCCCTGCCCCCTGCCCACCTCCTCTTCCCCACCCCTAGATTGTTTCCCAGAGTTAGGAGTCTCTCATGTTCTGTCTCCCTTTCTGATATTTCCCACTCATCTTTTCTCCTTTCTAGGGGTATAATTCTTTCACTTTGTCTTCCACCAGTAAGTTTTGATGGAAGGAGAGGGACAGAAATAGGAAAGGGAGAGGGAAAGAGTACTTTTGCCATTCAGCTCTACTTAAGAACACCACAACAGCACTTCCTTCTCTACATGGAACACTGACCCTCTCCACAGACTTGGATTAATGGATTCAGCAAATACTCTGTTGATGATCTGCCAGGCACAATCCCCTGTCCTAGCAACTAGGCAGCAGGAGTAAATAAAGAATAGGTAACGGAGAAAGTCCACAAGCAAAACCACACTAATGGAGGCTGAAGTGAGTGTAGAGAGGAAGGTGACCACCATCAATGGGGAAGGAGGAGGCAGTGATGGGACAGTTGCTTTTTAAAAAGGGAGGAGTGGGGGATCCCTGGGTGGCGCAGCGGTTTGGCGCCTGCCTTTGGCCCAGGGCGCGATCCTGGAGACCCGGGATCAAATCCCACATCGGGCTCCCGGTGCATGGAGCTTGCTTCTCCCTCTGCCTGTGTCTCTGCCTCTCTCTCTCTCTCTCTCTCTCTGTGACTATCATAAATAAATAAAAATTAAAAAAAAAAAAGGGACGAGTGGGAAGTAGGATGGTCTGATTAAAGGCATTCAAAAAGCTCACATATCCTCAAAAGGGGCTGATTGTTTCAGGGTTGGTGCATCACAAGCAGAAAGGAAGACTGTAGAATATCAATTTCAAGGAGTAGCCAGGTATCCATCTTTCATTTACTTCAGGGCACCATTGGCTTGAACACCCCTCCATGCACACATCTCCATGTACTTGAGCTCCACCTGGACCTAATGTACCACCTGCAATTGGGAGAGAAATGGGAAATAACAAGGGAGAAGATGGCAACCACTCAAATGGGGATTCTGAGTGCCCCAGTCTGCTGAGTACTGGGACATGCTCCCACTGAGACCTCCACTGACTGACCCACAGGAAATGGGCCTCCGGCCCACCTAGGGCTAAATAGCATATGGCTCAAGCAGATCTCAGATAAAATTCCACTTGTGCCAGGTGGACTTTGTGGTACAGATCCAATGAGCTGATGCAGCTGCACCTGTTCAGGTTCACTTGTGCTTGTTTAGTGAACACCATCCCCCACCACTATAGAGAAAATGCCTGATGTGCAAGAAGAGAATTAAACTTGCAACATCTAGGTAAATCAAAACACTATTATTTTATTTTTTAGACACTTTTTTTTTATTTTTTTAAATTTTTATTTATTTATGATAGTCACACAGAATGAGAGAGAGAGAGGCAGAGACACAGGCAGAGGGAGAAGCAGGCTCCATGCACCGGGAGCCCGACGTGGGATTCAATCCCGGGTCTCCAGGATCGCGCCCTGGGCCAAAGGCAGGCGCTAAACCGCTGCACCACCCAGGGATCCCCTAAACACTTTTTTTAAAGCAGTGTCTAATACAGAGGATTTAAAGATAGAATTGAAATATTAGATAATAGTAGGTAAATTGGAAGCTGGAAGATCTGCATGAAAGTGGCCTAAAGTGCTTGTATTATTTCTGAGGAGGTCAGGATGCTCTTAGCTCTTTATTTTGTTAACTATGTATGGTAAGTGGCATGAGCAAACCAGAAGGATGGAAGTCAAGTATCTAAAGATCTGGACTGGAAAACCTCAGTCTGGAAAAGAGAAAAACCAATATTGAAAAGACAGGACAGTATCTTCTGGTAAAGGCTCAATTTCATACCAACAACAATGAAAAGCTGCATTTAAAAAAATCTAGATGGCATGCTGCCCCTTCCCCTCAAGAAAGCATTGAGGATAAAAAAAAAAATTGCTTAAACAAGACAGTTTAAAAATGAGATCCTGTCATCAGAGAAGGGAACACTAAAGCAACTTATGTCCTACACTGTTAGCTGATTTTGCACAGCTGGGTCCCACTTAACCAGCCATAGGTAATGAGGACTACAAGGTCAGGGCCAGGCCCACCTGAGGTGAATCTTACATGAGAACTTTCCGAAGTTAAGCTGGCTTCCCAAAGTGCTACATCCTCAAGATAAACCATCCTTCAGACCCAAGGGAATGTAGAGACAGTGGCCTTGTAACCTAGCAGAGCAATAGAAAGGGGAAAGAGAGATGCCTGGGTAGCTCAGCAGATAATTGGCTGCCTTTGGCTCAGGGTGTGATCCTGGGGTCCTAGGGATTGGTCTGCATCAGACCCTGCGGGGAGCCTGCTTCTCCCTCTGCCTGTGTCTGCCTCTGTGTGTGTGTCTCTCAAGAATAAATAAAATCTTTTTAAAAATGGGGGAAAGAAAATACCCCTAACACCTTGTAGGTTACTGACCAACCCTTATGATCCAGGTAAACACAACCTGAGCCCTGGCTAAAGCAAACACAAGGCATCTTTGGAAGAGGACTTCTTCAATCTAGACCTCAGGAAAACTTTAAAGGTAATTTTTCAGGAGCAGTTAATAAGCAAGCAAAGATAATCAGGCACGAGGGGAAAAGGCAATATGACACAATCAGCAGAAAATAACAGATTCACATAGGCTTTGCATATTATCAGATACATGTTTTTGTATTGGGTTTTTGTAAAAATATCTTGGTAAAATATTTAAAGATGTATTTGGCTACAGATTGTGACAAAGTTAGAAGTAGAATTGGTGAGCTGTTAGATGAAGGTGAAGAAATTATCCAGAACACAGACAACATGGGGTTAGAAAAATGACTGGGTGATGGACACTGAGGGGGGCACTTGATGGGATGAGCACTGGGTGTTATATGTCGGCAAATCGAACTTCAATAAAATATACTTAAAAATATGGTAAAATAGAGAAGGTAGGATTTCACTGGGAAGTTTTACATATATGTAAAGTCACAGTCTCAGAAGGCAAGGACAGAGAAAAGGGCCAAAGGAACTGGGGCTGTGAATTTTCCAGAGCTGATGAAAAGTCTACAGATTCAAAAGCCTAAAGAGTGCATTTACAGAAATCACATCTAGACACATCATAGTGTAACTGTAGAAAAAGGGGGAAAAAATTAACAGCTAAGGACAAATTACTTCAAAGAACAACAGACTTCCCAGCAACAATAGAAGACGAAAGAGTGGAATGAAAACCTTAGTATAAAGACAGAAAATAACTGTCAGCCTAGATGTTTACACCCAGTGGAAATATCCTTCAAGAGTGAGGACAAAGGGAACCCTGGGTGGTGCAGCGGTTTGGCCCCTGCATTTGGCCCAGGGCGCGATCCTAGAGACCAGGGATCGAATCCCACGTTGGGCTCCTGGTGCATGGAGCCTGCTTCTCCCTCTGCCTATGTCTCTGCCTCTCTCTCTCTCTGTGTGACTATCATAAATAATTTTTAAAAAATTTAAAAAAAAAGAGTGAGGACAAAATAAACACATTTTAGGACAGAACTTGTTTCTTTTTCCCCTGCTGACCCTCACTAAAGGCAATTCTAAGGAATGCATTTTAATACTGAAAGAAAGTGATCCTAGATGATGTTCTGTGATGCAAAAAGGAAGAGCAAAGAGTAAGAGATATGTAGGCAAATGTAAATGAACATTTTTATACAAAACAATAAAGATTTAGAGTTGTTAAGATAGACTCAATATACCAGACAACAATAATATCTGTCGGGAGAGAGTCAAAAGAATTTATTATATAAAGTGAGATTTTGGTTAATCTACATATTGTAAAATCTAGGGTAATCATAAAATACAATGTATATTTTTAATAGTAGAGGAAAAAAAGAATTTTTAAAAAAGTAAAAGAAGGAGTGGCAGAAGGAAAAAAGTGTTAGATCTTAATCCAAAAATAATATTTCCATTTAATTTAAATGACAAAGATTGTCAAACAATGACTTCGTTTATTCAAGCCACTATAATAAATACCGCAGACTGGGTGGCTTATTAACAGCTGAACTATTTCTCATAGTTCTGGAGGCTGGAAGTTTAAGATCAGAGTGGTTGGAGATCAGCATGGTTGGGTGAAGGCTCTCTTTTCTAGATTGCAGATTTCTAATTGTACCCTAATGTGGTGGAAAGGGCTGGGAAGTTCTTTGGGGTCTCATTTTTTTTAAGATTTTATTTATTTATTCATAATAGACATAGAGAGAGAGAGGCAGAGACACAGGAGGAGGGAGAAGCAGGCTCCATGCCGGAGCCCGACGGGGACTCGATCCCGGGTCTCCAGGATCATGCCCTGGGCCAAAGGCAGACGCTGAACCACTGAGCCACCCAGGGATCCCCTGGGGTCTCA